TTATTTATTTATTTATTTATTTATTTATTTATTTACTTATTTATTTATTTATTTATTTATTTATTATTTTTATTTATTTTCCATAGGGTTATTATTTTTTAATGAGAAGGAAGAAAAATACAATCCAAAATATTCAAAAAATGTCCAGAAAATTTAAATAGAAAAACCTAGCGTTTTCTATAAGAAATTCGATTAGATTTCTATCAAACTTCAATTAAAAATTATTTTCACACATTTTTTTTCGAAATAATTGTTCAGTAGAAAATATTCTACACAAAATACATTGTACAGAAAGTTCTAAATCTATTGACTTTTCTCGATCAAAATGACACAAGAAAGTTGCATGATCTCCTATAGAAACTGATAAAAAAAAAAGGAATTTTTAAATATAATTCTAATTAAACGTCAAGAGAATTCTTAAAGAAATTCAACTTCCCAATAGAAATTCAATAGAATTTTCAGAAGGAAGTTAGTAAATGTGTTTTTAAACTGAAAAAAATGACAAAAAAACAGCAATAAAATTCCTCATTACTTCAAACTTCCATATCCCCGCATGTAGCAACTAAACAAATCACTTATCAAAAAAAAAACATCATTAAAAAATCATCAGAAGCCCCCACCCCTGGCTTTCGCTATATAAATGACACAATCATAGACCAAAATAAGGCCTTGAGCATAACCCGTTCAGCTGAATTATCGCGATAGTGACAAGTGTCCTCGGCCGAAAATTAACTATCTCCCAAATATTCAAAAATATTTTAATCGAGTAACGCACCCGCCGTTTAATAAAACAGCCAAAATCACTGGTCAGACCCCCACACCATAAATTCGGGAGATATTCCCCCCAAAACTGGCAAATAATTAAAAACTCGTCTTCGGAATATTTAAAATCTCCTATTTATCAACACGCCTTCATCTGCGCGATATTGGCATATAGAAAGTATATTGTAGATAATACCTCTCAGTTTCTATCCGTCAGTCTAGGTAGAAAGTACATAATAGCACATGCGTAAGAATATTTCCGGGTAATTGCCGCAATGTTCAGTGATATTGAGTGAAGTATTCATCTATTGTTCCTGATTTCCTGCATTTCATCTCGAACAAGTGATTTTTTAAATTATCGACGGGTGAACACTGGGGGAATGATGGGGTATTTGCCCACTAAAACTATTATACTCTTCGGCGCCTTCCAGTTCATGCTGTTGTGGTTCGATTTTCGAATTAAACAATTTCGAACGTATGATGAGGCCATCGGAACTGAATTCTACGCTCTTGATTTTGTGAGTTGTGTTAATTTGGGGTGGAATTAGCTGATAATGAGGACGAATTGAATAATTAAATAATTGAGGGATTAAATTATTATTGAATAACTGAGAAAACAAAATTGTCTGATGATTTATTTGGATTTAGAGCTATTTTGCGTTAATGTGTGAATCTATTACGGAATAGTAGTGCAAAGCATAATATAATGTAATGGTTTATTTTATTGTGATAATTATTGAATTGTTTTCTATGGAAATTTCACTTTTAAGACAAAAGACGTTTTTTTTAATTTTCGGGTTAATTTTGAGGATATATTTGTGGGAATTGAGGAGCTCGTTTTATTTTGGTTCAATTACGTGACGTGAATACTCCATTAATTCGGAATAAATAATCGATTAGAATTAATTGAATGATTCAATTGATTGATTGATAATCGTTCTATCCTCACATTTTTTTTTAATTAATTGGAAATTATGTAGAATTGTTTGAATGATCTAATTATTTTTTTTTATTTTAGCTAAAATTAAAATTAAAATTAAATTTAAAATCCTAATTAAATTTTACATTTAAAAATCGTAATTAAATTTTAAATTTAATGAGGATTTTAGCTAAAATCGACCTCTGAACTTTTTCAAGTAACTTAAACATCCTAATTTTCCTCAGGAATTGAATACAATTAAATAGAAAAGAATGCGAAAAATAGAAAAATAAAAAAAAGGACGAATTAAAAAGTAGATTGCTCATTGATAAATAATAACTATATTAATATAAAAAAAATAGTATTGATAATTATCATTAATAAATTGATTAATAAATAATATTAATAATGATAATGATAATAATAATTAATACTAATGATAATTTATTTATTAATAAATTTATTAATATTAATTATTAATATTATCATTATTAATAAATATCGTCAGGAATTGCTAACAATTGAATATGCAGACATGAGAATGAAATTTCACAAAATATTTCTAGCCCCCGTATAAATAAAGTAAATTCCATCATTAGGTTTTATCATATTTTATCTGAATAATTTTTTTTCACGACTGCAATTCTCAAATCCTCTAGATTGGAATGGCGAACATCCAAGGATACGAGGCAGAGTGGCACAACGTCACCACAGATGATGGATACCTCCTGACGTTGTTCAGAATTTTACCAAATCCCGTATTTCGTAATGCAACTGAAAAAAAACGAGTAGTTTACATGGCCCACGGGTTGGGCGCTACAGCGGACATTTTCGTGATATTCGGACGCGGCAGGAGCATAGGTACGTCCTCATCCTTGCATGTTTCAGGGCAAAGGAATATAATATATAAGTCAGAGAAATATAACACATCTTCCTTGATATCTTTTCATTAATATCTCTGCAGCCTATTCGTTCGCGGACGCTGGCTACGACGTTTGGATCGGCAATTTTCGAGGAAATTCTTACAGTCGTAAACACGAGACTCTGTCGCCTGACGATGAGGAATTCTGGAATTTTAGGTATTGGGTTTCATTTTCAATTGTCGGAAATTTTTTCGAATTTCAGTTCTACTTAAATTTCAAGTAATTTCGTATTCAAAAATTCATGATTTGAGTTTAGATCAATTTTTCAGTGGAAATTAATTGAAATCAGGAAAATTCAGATATTTTTTTAAATTTTCAGTCAATTAATAATTAATAATTAATAATTAATAATTAGTAATTAGTAATTAGTAATTAGTAATTAATAATTAATAATTAATAATTAATAATTAATAATTAATAATTAA